CTGTACGTCCCCAAGGCGATGCGCAAGAAGGCAGAATGGGGGGAGCAGGAGAGCCCGGTGGCGGCCGGCACCGAGTCAGGTGGGGATATGGCACAAGAAGAAGAGATCTGCCCTAAAGCTTCAGTCGGGGACGCCCAGGAGGAGCTGGGTAAGTCTGAAGGCAGCCCAGGTGGTGTCTCCTTGGCCCTTGGCAAGCAACAGGAGCCTGGCGAAGAGTGCGTTTCAGGAAAAAGTAATGATGACACAAACGACGAACGTCCTCCGAGCTGTACGGATGTCCCGTCGTTAGAGAACAGTAACGATTTCTCTGGGCAGGAAAGTCAGGATAAAGACTGTTCAGATTCCTTTTCTTCTGTACACAATAAAAACCCAATTGAAGCAGAAGAGCAAGATCAGAGCTGCGATAACACTGTTATACCAGAAGGTAGCAAAATCCTGTGCCAGCTGCAAGCTGAAGGCCAAAACAGCCAGGATGCCGGTGTAGCGGAGTGCAGCAAAAACTCCTCCCTATCAGAAAGTCGCAGCAGTAACTGCTGTACAGACCCAGCTGCAGCAGAGTCGAGTGCGACGTCGCTGGTGCTGGAAAACCAAGATAAGAGCTGCGCTGCTGCCAAGAGCCTGGAGAGCGGCGGAAACGTGTCACCGCCCGAAGAACAGGGCAAGGACTTTGTGAGCGCCGGCACAGGGGAGGGAGGCAAGAGTTTCTCCGAACTGGAAAGCCAAGATCAAGAGTGCCCCAGCGTTGCCCAGGTGGGGCGTAACCAGAACCCCCCAGAAGCCCAAAATGAGCCTCTGGCCACGCCTGAACCAGTCCATGGTGCCGACCCATCAGCTTCTGCGGAGCAGAATGAGCGCTGGGTGGATGCTCCTGTGCAGAACCGCAGTGGGAAGGTGCCCGTGGCCGAAGAGGAGGACAAGGAGCGTTCGGGCTTGGCCGAGGCACTGTGGCGTGAGCTGCATTTGTCTGCAGGCGATAAAGAGGAGAGCGCGGCCATCCGCGGGCAGAGCAGCCTCGAGGACGACTGTACCGCGGAGCTCTTCGCAGAGGTAGTGTTTTGCCATGGGTGTTGCCACGGGGAGCGACTTTGGGGAAAAAAG